TCCCCCCCACCGCTGCCCCCTCCCCTCCTCCATGCCCTTTCTCTTCCTCAGGTGGAGAAGAATCACAGACCTGCAGGCAGAGATGGGACCTTCGAGGATCCCCTTGCCTGATCCTTCCACGTTTATTGGATCCTGTTCCACAACTCGGTATGGGGGCATCATCCCTGCCCTTTTCAGTTTCTTTTACAGCCAGTCCATATAGAAGATTTATCAGCCTTTGAATTACATCTGACCTTTGTCTGCCTGACAGAAAGACCTCCTGATCTGTGTGGATAGAATTGGTTTGCAAATCTACCCAAACTTTGGGCCAAAATGGAGGAGACACTTTCCTTTTTTTCAGCCTGAAGACAACTCAGGTGCAAAGCCTGGGGGGTCCTCTTGGATGAGTCTCAAACTCTGGATGTCCAGGATTCCCACAGTGGCCAGGAGGGCCTTCACACCCTTAAAACGAGGGCACCAGTGGCGCCTCCTCCTGGTGGGTCCGGTCTTGCCATGCAGGCACATGCATTAGTCACATCCCAGCTGGACAACTGTAATTGTTGTACCTCCCGGCTTTGAGTATGTTCTGGTGTTGCCGTCTATGTGGGAACAGCCTCTGGAAAGTGTCCGGGAACTTCAGCCAGTCCAGAATACAAGAAACAAAACACAGACACCCTGTTACAGCTCCAGAGGCTCCTCAGCCATTTCTGGGCAGAATTCAAAATGTTGTACCTTCCTGCACTGAAATGATTTTGCTACTGTTTATATTTTCTTACCCATGTCTTCCTTTTATCCTTTTTTTATTAATATACTCACAGTTCTCAGCTTTAAATGCCATTTTTAAATGGTGTAAGCTACTCTGGGTCCTTTTTAAGAAGAATGGCAGGACAAAACGTATATTATACAAAAAACCTTTCTAAAGTACTAGGTCTATATTTGGAGTGAATCCCCTCCAGTGCCCAGTTCTGATAATTGCATCATAGAAAGAGGTACTTCACAGATTTTTCTTTTAGTATTTTTAATAATTTCAGAGAGCAAATGGTGGATAACAATCCCGCTGATACGAGGGTCCTACTTTATACTGAATGATGTAAACAACTATCTGTCCTCTAAACAACAATTTAGATTATTATTATTCTTTTCATGTGAGAAATTTTAAGAGAAGTGTAAATATTCATACTGGAACCTTATAAAACAGAATTTTCAGTATCATCTCCCCCAACTTTGCCCCATTCCCTCCCCCTCTCTTCCTCCTCTACCTACCATCCAGCCTCTCTTCCCTTCCCAACCTCCTTCCCCCCAAACAAAAGCAGTCAAGCCTCCAGCTCCTAACACTGGGCTGTTCCAAGTGGGTTACGACAGGGAGGCCAAAAGCGATGCTTCTCAGTAAAAGGCAAAAGATTTATACGATCTGAAGAGAAACCAGGGCTTCTGCTCAGAGCAAACGATTTTTGATAAACTTTTATTAGGTTCAAAAGAACAAATTGTTAAGAGAATGTATAATTATATGTCGGAAATTAAGATGCAAGATGAAATAGTTAAGGAATGTATGATTAAGTGGGCACACAATATAGGGCATAATATTGATATTGATCAATGGCTGAAAATATGGCAAAATAATATAAAGCTTACAAGATCGGTCAACTTTAATGATAATATATATAAGATGTTTTATAGGTGGCACATGACCCCAGAAAAATGGTCAAAGATGTACACAGATGTATCAAATAAGTGCTGGAAATGTGAAACACAAGTGGGAATCTATTATCATATGTGGTGGTCATGTGGTGTAGCGAAACAATATTGGAAAAGAGTACATGCTATGTTGGAACAAATATTGCTCTGTAAGGTGCCATTAACCCCAGAATTGTTTCTATTGAGTATGATACCTGTAAATATAGATAAGTCAAAGGAATATATAGTTATATACATAGTTGCTGCAGCAAGAATTCTATATGCTAAAAGTTGGAAAAGACCAACAGTACCGAAAGAAGAAGATCTTATTGAAAAGATATGGGAAATAGCCGAAATTGACATTTTATCAGAATTCATGAAGGACTATCCCTTGCAAAAGGCAACAGAAAGATGGGATCTATTTAATAAGTGGACTGAATCAACAGGCAGCCGGTGAATAGCATACAGTATATTGAAATGAGTACTTAATCTAGAAGGCAGAAAAGAGTACATAGAATAACTTAAAATCTTGATATGGCAATAGGTATAGAATGGATGGAAGTATGTTATTGTCTCCACTCTTCCTCATCAATTCCAATTCCCCTTTTCCTTTCTGTCATCCCCTATGTTAAAAAATAAAATAAAAAAGGGAAAAAAAGCAATGCTTCTCAGGAAAGGACGCTCCCCACTCTCACGACCTGCATTACTGCACATGGATATACAGTGAGTGACTCGCTTAACGGGTGCCCCGTTTAACGACGAATCTGCATAGCGATGAATTTTTTTCAATCGATTTTGCGATCGCATTGCGATGATTTAGATAGGGGAAAATCACTTTGCGATGATCGGTACCATTTCGCATACCGATCATCGCATAGTGATGATTTTCCAACAGCTGTTTGGCAATTCCAAAATGGCCGCCGGGTAAAAAAAATGGCCGCCCACTGTGTTTTCACCCGGATTCCTTGCTTACCGGGCAACGAAAATGGAGGCCGCATGGAGGATTTTTGCTTAAAGGTTAGTTTTAAGCCCATAGGAACGCATTGAAGGGGTTTCAATGCATTCCCATGAGCTTTTTAAAACCACCTAGCGACAAAATCGCTTTGCAGCTATTTTTGCTGCACGGATTATCGTCACTATGCAGGGCACCACTGTAAATGAATAAACATGTTTGTTATTTCGTAACCGGAAAGCCCGGCACTTCAAGGTAGCTGAAGGTCTTCCCATATTCCATACATTATGAGGCTTCTCACTTGGTGTGGGTTCTTTGATGTGAATGTACATTGTCACTCCGGCGGAAACTCTTTCCACATTCCAAGCATTTATACGGTTTCTTCCCAGTGTGGATCCTGTGATGTGTATTCAGCTGACCACTCTGACTGAAGCTCTTCCCACACTCAATGCACGTAAAGGGTTTCTCCACTGCGTGGATCCTTTGGTGTGCACGTAGATTTCTACTGTGACGGAAGCTCGTCCCACATTCAAGGCATTTAAAGGGTTTCTCCCCTGTGTGAGTCCTTTGATGTAATTTTAAATGACTGCTCTGATTGAAGCTCTTTCCACATTCCATGCACTTAAATGGTTTCTCCCCTGTATGAATTCTTTGATGGTTTCTATATGCTCCACTGTCGCTGAAGCTCTTTCCACATTCTATGCATTCATATGGTTTCTCCCCAGTGTGGTTGCTTCGATGTCTCCTCAAGTGACTGCTCCAACCGAAGCTCTTTCCACATTCCTCACACATAAAGGGTTTCTCCCCTGTGTGGATCCTTTGGTGTTCACGTAGCTGTCCACTGAGACGGAAGCTCCTCCCACACTCTAGGCATTTAAAGGGTTTCTCCCCTGTGTGAATCCTTTGATGTAAATTTAAACTATCACTCCGATTGAAGCACTTTCCACATTCCATGCACTTAAATGGTTTCTCCCCTGTATGGATTCTTTGATGTTTTCTGTACGATCCACTGACACTGAAACTCTTTCCACATTTGTCGCATTTGTCTGGTTTCTCGCCGGTGTGGATCCTCTGGTGCACAATTAAGTGTCCACTCCGACTGTAACTCTTTCCACATTCCATGCATTTGTATTGTTTCTCCCCTGTTTTGGTCATTTTGATTCAAGGACTTCTCTGCTTCCCGTTTTGGGTCTTCTTTGATTTCTAAACCTTTTTTTTCTGTTTCCGACTCAGTTCTTTCCAGAGTGTTCTTACCATTGTGTTCTTTACCTGAGAGAAAAGGAAGAAAGAAATCTTATTCCTAGCCCATAACAGAAATGGAAGACATCAGATATTATACCCGCTTTCATCATTTCCAAGTGTGAAGGAGAGAAAGGAAGTGAGCCATCCTTCTCAGTCAAAGGAGCGGAAGGAGGCATAGAATGTGTTGAAGGAATATTAGTGGAGGTGGAACAAGATGACAGGGAGGCGCAACAGCATGGAGAAGTGTGTTTGGCTGATGAGAGAGGGGAGGAGCTTGATTTGATTGTATGGGAAGATATAAATGAGGGAGAAAAGGCAGGAAGTTTCAGAGTGGTAAAGAGTGAACCAGCAGACAAGAAAGATAGGTCTAGATATTGTGGGGCCTTTGATGCGGTCTGCAGGAGGGCACACACACATACTGGTGATTGTAGATTATGCGACACGGTATCCGGAAGCTATTCCCTTGTGGTCTACCACTGCCAAGACACTAGTGAAGGAATTAATGCAGGTCTTTTCTAGGTTGGGTTTTCCAAAAGAAGTTTTGACTGATCAAGGGACGAACTTTATGAGCCAAACTTTTAAGGAAATGTGGCACCTCCTAGAGGTGAAACCGATTCACACGGCCGTCTATCACCTCCAGACTAACAGCCTTGAGGAGAGGTTCAATAAGACCCTGAAGGGCATGCTTAGGAAGTTGGTGATGGAGAAACCCTGGTGGTAGCATTTGTTAGTGGCTCTAATGTTTGCCATTCACGAGGTACCTCAAGCCTCCACAGGCTTTTCGCCATTTGAGATGATGTTTGGGTGGAACCCTCAGGGTGTATTAGATCTTGTGAAGGAGAAGTGGGAAAGTGGAAAGGATGAAATCCAGCTAGTTGTGCAGCATGTGATAGAGATGAGAGACCATCTAAGGAAGGTGGCGGAAATAGCCAAGGAACATATGGGGCAAGCCCAACATGATCAGAAAAGGCGGTACAATACCAAAGTCAGACCTAGACAGTTTGAACCAGGGCAGAAAGTATTGCTATTAATGCACTCTGATTCAGCTAAATTGTTTGCCACATGGCAAGGGCCTTATGAGGTTACACGGAAGATAGAGCCAGTGAATTATGAGAGATACATGCCAGATAAGACTAAGAAGAAAGGAAGTTTCCACGTTAACCTATTAAAGGAGTGGAGAGAAAGACAGGCTTTATGGGGTGAAGAGGGAACACAGGGTTTTGGTCCAGATGTAGAGACATGCCTTAGGAAAGACTTACGTATCAAGATAGATGAAACATTAGATGGTCAAAGGCAGCAGGAATTGAGAAGGATAGAAAAGGAGTTCAGACACGTGTTCTCAGGTCAACCCGGATGGACCTCTTTAATAGAACATGTGATACAACCCCCCCAGGGGTAGTGGTCCGGAGGAAGGAATTGGCCCTATCACTTAAAGGAAATCATCAACAAAGAAGTAAAGGAGATGTTAGCATTAGGAATCATTGAACCGTCACGTAGCCCATGGAGAAGTTACCCTGTGGGACTCTGGAACTCCCTCTCACTTTAGTGCAGGCTGGTCAGATTTTTGCTGTCCTTCTGCAAGCAGGCAAAGACCTTTCTCTGATATTTGATCCTTGCATTTGATCCTTGCTAGTATTATAATCCCCTTCACGGATTGCTGTCTTGTCGTGGCGAAGGGGCTTGAGTAACTCAGAGAAACTATGGGCTATACCGTGCACGGACACCCAAGATGGACAGGTCATAGTGGAGAGTTCTGACTAAATTTTATTTATTTATTAATTTATTTATTTTATTTATATCCCGCCTATCTGGACATATTAGCCCACTCTAGGCGGCTTACAATAAAAGAAACAATATAATTTTAAAACATTGCACCTAGACTAAGATAGAAATCAAAGAAAGATATAAGAAAGGAAAAATCGTCAGGAGTTTTCTGTTGGGAAAGCCTGCCTATACATCAATGTTTTTAGTTGTTTCTTAAAAATGTCCAGCGAGGGAGCCGCGCGAATCTCAGGAGGTAAGTTGTTCCAGAGACGAGGAGCCACCGCCGAGAAGGCCCGATTTCTGGTCTTCTCCTTCCGGGCCTCTCTCGGCGTTAGGCTCCTCAGCCTCACCTCCTGGCTCGCTCGAGTGACACGGGTAGAACTTGGTGGGAGAAGGCGTTCCACTGGGAGCAGGAACTGGCAAGCCTCTCCAATATCTTTGCCAAGAAAATCCCATGAACAGAAACAAAAGGCTAAAAGATATTAAGATGGAAGATGAGCCCCTCAAGTCGGAAGGCATCCAACATGCTACTGAGGAAGAGCGGAGGACAAGAACAAGTACGTAGCTCCAGAACTAATGAAGTGTGTGGGCGAAAGCTGAAAGGACCCTCAGCTGTGGATGTGCCTGGAAGTGAAAGGAAAGTCCAATGCTGCAAAGAAGAATATATAGGAACCTGGAATGTAAGATCTATGAACCTTGGGAAGCTGGATGTGGTCAAACAGGAGATGGCAAGAATAAACATCGACATCTTGGGTTTCAGTTAACTAAAATGGACAGGAATGGGCGAAATCAATTTAGATAATTATCTACTACTGTATTGTGGGCAAGAGTCCCGTAAAAGAAATGGAGTAGCCCTCATAGTCAACAAAAGAGTGGAAGAACTGTAATGGGATACAATCTCAAAAGTGATAGAATGATTTCAATACGAATTCAAGCAGGGCTTTCAACATCACAGTGCACCAACCACCAATGCTTGTATGGAAGAATATATCATGCGAAAGGCTGGACTGGACAAATCCTAAAATGGAATGAAGATTTCCAGAAGAAATATCAACAACCTGTTATGCAGAGGATACCACTCTGATGGCAGAAAGTGAGAAGGAATGGAAGAACCTCTTAATGAGGGTGAAGGAGGAGTGTGCCAAAAACGGTCTGAAGCTCAACATCCAAAAAACTAAGATCATGGCCACTGGTCCCATCACCTCCTGGCAAATAGAAGGGGAAGATATGGAGGCAGTGAGAGATTTTACTATTTTGGGCTCCATGACCACCGCAGATGGTGAAAGCAGCCACGAAATTAAAAGACACCTGCTTCTTGGGAGGAAAGCAATGACAAACCTAGGGGCCGACAGAGGATGAAATGGATGGACAGTGTCACTGAAGGGACCCACATGAATTTGACCCAACTCCGGGAGGCAGTGGAAGACAGGAGGGCTTGGACATGACTTAACGACTAAACAACAAGAACAGTATTTCTTTACTCGTTGTTGTTAGTTTAAATACTGTCTTTTTAATGATGTAAGCTGCCCTGGGTCTTTATTTAGCCGAATGGTGTGGTAAAAATATTTTAAATAAATAAACATCATGTCACAGGAAGACAGGGCAGCATCCCGGCTCAACTGTGCCAAGATAGCCCGTCCAGAGCACAGGATCCGGCCCCACTACCTATCCAATGGCCTCTGGACAGACAATCAGTGCAGGGAGAAAGACAAAGAAGAGGGATCCCTGCTTTGGGGATCCCTGCAAAGAAGGCAAAGGGATCCTTACCTGGAGAGAGCTTCTTCCTGAAATTCTCCAGGGGGATCTCCTTCTGTGGAGCCCTCCAGCCGCGATCCAGGATGGCCTGCGGCCCTGCCTGGAAATGCACCCCTGCGCCCGGAAAGGACCCAGAAATCTGTAAAAGGAAAAGGAGAAATTGGAGGGCCAAACTCCAACTGCTGTGTCTTCAGTGGCTTGTTAGAGGAAGCCCCAAAACCCACACCAAGCACAGCCATTCCCAAAGGACAATTTCACGACGGAAAACTGACATTTCACGTCCTTTTTCTCTATTTTCAAAGAAGGAGCCGCTCAAACCTAATGCCCAGGGAGAAGGGGTTTCGCCATTTATCTCCTTTTTCCTGAAACAGAAAGAGGGTCCCCGTTGGTCTTGCTCTTCCACTCGGCCCGAAATATTTTTTTTTTACGTGTAGAAGTAAAAAACCTTCAGTTTTGGGCAGGAGGCGAATTTTAAAAAGAACAAAGGCAGGAGAAGAAGCCTGGATTTCCGGAGGAGAAGACGAGGCCTCTGGTCTTCTGCCTCCAGCCGGGTCAGCCCCAGGAGGGCAGTCTTTCACTCCTTCTCCTTCGCGGCTCCTGGCCTCTCCTCCTGTCCTCGAGGAGCCCCTTCCCTGATCCTAGATTCCCCACCCAAAATAGCATGTGCCGGACCCCTCCCCAGGGCCTCGAAAGAGGCCACCCTCCTCCCCAACCCTCGGGGCACCTTCTCCCCCTGCACCCTCCTGGGGGGGGAGGCTTCTTCTCTTCCTCCTCCTCTCCTGTCCTTTCCTTTTCCTGCAGCCTACTCGAGAGGAGGAGGAGGGGAGGCAAGTACCCCAGTTTCCCTTTCTTGCCTGTTCTTAGAGGTCCCTCGGAGGGGCAGTGGGTGTTATGGAAAAGGAAGGCCCAATACTGAACAAATTTTACTTATAATCAATAAGGCTTTAGGACTGACAAAGGCTAAGCAAAACCGCTCATAGTTGCAGCTGCCGTTGCAGAAAATATTTTAGGATATTGCTTGACTAACATAAAAAGAGGATGTGAACTTAGACACAGATGCCTGGGTCAGCAGAAATGTTCCAGACAAAGTCGAAAACAGGAAGTTAAGTAAACGATGCTACTCACTGTTGACCTAGTGTAACCGAATGTACTAAAAACATGTGGTTTGGAAATAACATTTGCTGAGTGTTGAAATTGATACTAACGGTTATTATGAATATAATAAGAGAGGGTGGATGATCGAGGGGGAGGGTTCTTGATTTGGGTGGGAAAGGGGTGGAATAAAGGGAAATTAATTAATGTGAACTCATTGGCCAACTGGTTAATGAGGCAGATAGAACATTTTGGTATATAAATCAATGCTGCTACCTCATTTATTCGGAAGTTCTTGGGGGGGATTTCTAACTTGAACTTCCCCCGCTGCTGCAGCGATATAAATAAAGCTTTTTTTTCCCCCTTGCATTTACCTCAGAATTTGTCTAAGAGTCATTACTTGCTCTGAGGTAGATTTTTCTACATTTGTCAGGGGGTCCTATTTGGTGACCCCTCCCACCCTCGGACCCTTTAGGAGGAAGCGGCCTCTTGAAATCTCAACCCCCCCCCCACAAAACCCCTATTATTATTTTCCCTTCC